CTGCAAAGAATGCAGTGACTTAGCCTCAGTCAAATGTCTTATTTTTTATGATTTCTTCACCTGATGTAACATTTCTTTTATACCAATGACCATATATCTGGAGCTTGCTAACACAAAATGATATTTAAGGTACTTACAGATACAGTCCTGACCAAAAATATTGGCACCCCTGCATTTCTGTCAGATAACACACCACTTCTCCCAGAAAATTGTTCTTTTCTTTGGTATTCTCATGTTTATGTCTTTTGTTTGCATTGTTTGTTAAATCCCATAGAACACCCATGGAGAGGTCTCAAGACGGCAGTTGTGAGAAGAAACCTTTCAAATCTGAGCGAACTGGAGCAGCTGGCAAAAGAAGAGTGGTTCAAAGTTCCAGTAGAGAGGTGGAAGAAACTCACTGATGGTTACAGGAAGCAATTATTTTGTCCAGTGTGAGTGCAACCAAATATTAAGTTGAGGGTGTCAGTAATTCTGTCAAGTCCGTTTCTAGAGTTCTGTGTGAAACGGATCAGATTTGGCTTTTCCCCTGCTTTTTTGTTCCAATGCAAACTAAAGAAATAAACACGAGAACACCTAAGAATTTGTGATTGCAGCAGGTTTCTGGGAGAAGTGGTGCGTTATCTGACAGAGAAGCTGGGGTGCCAATAATTTTGGCCATGGCTGTATGTTAAAACTCCCACAGATGGATAGATAGATGTGTAACCAAATGAAGTGAATAATAAAATTATTTTAAATCTACAGGCAAATACTAAAGGTTGATTTCATGCTACTCTGATAAAATATGATGGCAAACATAGCCTACTATTTGTAACAAACCCCCTCTGCATAAACCTGCAGTCATACAGTAATTCATTGTTTGTATGCAAATTGTGTACTATACAATCGTCCTGTATAAACGTGGACCCTGTGTGGTCTGACAAAAAGTTGAAACAGAAGCGGTGCTACTACTGAACATCCGCCAAACGTCCACCTGTTATTGTCAAATGGACCCATCTATCAGATAAAGCCAGTACAAATGCATGATGTCATCCTTTAAAAACCTGGAAAGTGTAGGTGTAGCCCTTTACAAATCAAGTTCGCGGGCCTGAGTGTGTATCAGTGCGTACAGCCTGCGTGCATGTGTCAGTCCGTTATGTTGCTCTCTTCAGCGGGTTTGTTATTAAGGACAAACGGGGTGAATGAAGGTACTTGATGAAGCATACGCCGTCGGCTGCATGAGCAGCGCCCCCGCCACTACTTCAGCTACAATGCTGCACGTACTGTAGTTTGGGTCGCGACAGTCCAAGGCCACCGAAGCGACGGCTCCTCGGCGCGCACAACATCTTTGCCTTTTTCTTTACATGTAATTATAACAAATTAGGAGGCACTTCAACTTCATGACACTCTCTTACTATGAAAACGCGAGTGGGATCCTGTTCTCAACTTCACAGTGTGTACCACTCATCTCTGCGACATCCACTGCAACACAATCGAAACTAAGTCATAAACAGGCAATAATACGGTTAATATTTACCTGCTTGCTACAGTACGGGTGCTGCAGCGATTTATCCCGTAAGGAAAGGGCCAGAACTCCGCATTTCCTGGATTACGATGCGCTGGATAGAGCTGCCTTCGGTGCCCGCCTTTCCAGGGAGAGAGAGTCGGAGGGGCTGGGGTGCTTCCCACTCTGGTGTCAGACCGGACAGCGATGCCACGTTCAGCTGATCGCCACAACAAAACAACATCTCGCCCTACGCAAAACACACTCCACGGCTCCGCACCACCCCGCACGGCAGGTCCGGTGGGCGCCGCCCCCCTCTGGACCTCCACCAGTGGGCTGGTGCGTTGAGCCCACCTCATGAATAATCATGAGGTGGCGGAGGGAGCGATTGGTCCAAAGGAGCAGTTCCCGGTTAACGCTATTAATTCTAATTAGCCAGGCAGTCAGCTAAACGGGACAGAGTTTTGGGGGGTGATTTCGGGGATCACGCACCTCCTGATCTAAGGATCTGCACATTTCTTTCTGATTCAGCAACATTTTCATCCACCGTCCTAGAGGTATAATGGGGATCAGGAGCAGTTGCCACAAATCAATGATCCTAGAGGCAGTGCATCTATTTACTTTGCATACTTATCAGTGCTCGGTGATGAGGGTCAGACATAATAAAGGGCAGTGAGAGATGCGGGCCTGACCGTAGCTGTACCCCGGGGATCAAACTGAGCTCAGACCTCACAGGTGGTGGTGACTGGCAGCACACCTCATGTTTTCACCTCACATCACCGTCACGGTGCATAGATAGCCCAAGGGGGAATAACGATAAAACGACCAGCTGCTGAATTACGTGTCTCGTGATGTCCAGTACAGGAGAAACTGTCTGCGTATGAATGTCACACGCTTTTGTGTCTCGTATTCTTTGAGCGGTCTGTGCATCTGCCTGCAGCGCGCTTACTCCTGTCTTTGTTCCTGAGAACGGTGCAAAGGAGAAGTGGAAGCGCACGAAGGTGGCGAGAGATGCAGAAAAAGAGGAGAGGATAGGAGAGCAAAGGCAGACAGTGGGAGAAAGTGAGAGACGGAGCAGGAGTGCGAGGACACGCTGTGGTGTGAGCGCTCCGTACTGCTACAATATGACTCCGACAGGCTTATGTAACCAGACGGGCCTGGCATTTGGCTCGCAGCAGACGCCGGCTGCACTCACTGTTATGCAACTGTATTAGCTATTCCTCTGAGCTCAGAGGGAGCATGCGCACATAGGAGCCGTACACATAAGCAGAGTTTTTCCACTTCCAGCTTAGGACAAAGACGTTGCAGTGCATTGCTGGCTAGTGACCGAACAAAATAAAGGAGCGGAGGAAGTTGAAGAGTTAGTCAGAAACAATCAGATACTGCTCATAAACTGGGCAATGAGTCTGGCAGGTTTCAGCATTTTCACTTCCCAGCATAAGGCAACAAGTTTCCCATCCTGAAAAGCCTAATTGGGGCTTAATGTTTGGTAAATGTTTCCAGTGCACATGCAGTATGCCAGCAGGGCCCAAACTCAATTAGCTCCCCTGCATGCAGTACATAATTTAATGGGCCCGGATCCCACTTTTAAAACCCAATTACACCTCAGACGGGAATTTCCAGTCATTCTGCCAAAGAGATGGTCAGGGTTGCACAGTCCTCTCATAAATCAATGTGTATCAAGGAATTATTGGAATAATAAATTACACAACCGCAGCTGAGATATTTGATGATCTATGGAGAGAATGGCCTTATTCTTGACAAGTGAATGCAAAATGCAGTTAAACACTGACATTTCCAAGTTAATGTGGGAGAAGGGAATTAAAGATTAAGGTCAGGGACAGCACTTCAACTGATGACCATTGTTTCAGTCAAGATGCAATTACAAATCTCAACCTGGCTACCTCAAGCATGGCTGCAGAACTATACTACGTGGTTCATAATCAGCACGTTGCAGCCCCTGATCTCTTATTACAGCGACAAATCGCATCTGATGAAAACAGAGGAGATGAAGGTGGGATTTATAGCACTAGAGCCGATGGCCAAAGACAGTGTCTTAAACCTGTCCTAGGAGAAAAACTTAATTCACATTTGTACACTTGATAACGGGAAATAAAAGTCTGATTTATGATGCTTTACTAATTTGTTCTCAGATGCTGTTGAATTTCAAATGGGATTAATGGAAGAAGAGTGTAAGTGTAAAGAGTTCTTCAGTCTCCTTAAACTCCAATGGGTTCTTTTAGACACTAAGTGGTCCTATCACTGAATGAAGAATGAAGAAAAAAGTAGTTAAGTGCGCAAGAGTGGGGGCAGTTCTTCAAATTGTAAAATCTGATCTTATGTTTTGACTGGCTAGAGCAATATAACTGAAAGAATGAAGCCCAAAACACTAGAGAGTTGGAAGACATGCTCTTGTGCAGGGTCAGAGATTACAGCAAAAAGACTGGGCTTGTTTGTGCTAGCACAGAACACATTCTCATTATGTCCATTTTCTTTCAGCCTTACATGCATTTGTGTACATGAACCACAAACGATGTACCAAATACAATTTTCTGTGGCATAAAACACACGCTGGCACTGTGTTCTCATTTTCCACTTGCACTTTATATTCTCTCACTTCTGATCAAATCTGTACTGCTCCCTGTGCAACCTGTATTTATTCAACTGTTTTACTGTGTTTGTCTCATAATTGTAATTTTACAGTTGCCCTCTCTACTGTGTTGGGGAAGTCTTTGTTTCCCCCACATGTGGAGGAAATGAGAATTCAGTCTCACAGCTACACTGCGACACAAACTGTTCCAGACAGCGCCAAATGGACTGAGTGACCTCTGAAGCCAAAATCAACATGGCACATCTGCCAGCCACACAATAAGGAAATAACACAGTAGAGGCTGCAAACACTTGTACACATTGCTCTGTCTTGTACAGGTACAAAGGACGGGTCACATAAACATACTGAGTCCTGACTTATCTTGCCAACTTTTCATTTTGTTCCAATTTACTGATTGCCCAATTCATATCACAAGTGGAAAGCTGAATACCAAGACGAGCTATTATACAGCACATGCAGTAAAATGTCTGCATCCAAAGTGTCAAGCACATGCTTTGCTTGCCTTGGGAGTGTCGTTTACAAAATGCATTACCCAGAGCACATAACATGCTGTGATGTGACTATTTGCCCCTCCTTACTCCCCAACTGTGGTACCTCGTGAGCTACGGGGTGATGTACAGAAACGAAAGGAAGTGCTATCACTCTTCCTGCACCCTGGTGTCCCGTCAGAGATAAGGGGATGTTAACTACAGTCTGTAACATCCACGGGGCACTTAAAGCACCATGAACATCAAAATGATCTTATTAGTAATTGCTGTTGCTCATTATATCAAAGGTAAAACAAAAAAAAGCATTCAAAGTAAACAAAATTTTTAACCAGTATTTTATAATTTTAACTTTCATCTACTTGACATTTTTATGGGCGCAAACTCAAGTTTCTATTGAAGCATCAATCAAGATACAGTGAGCTTTAGTTTTCCCTCTTTATTAAAATCAATGTACATTAATTGTAATATTAATGCATTGGCCTATGCCTTATGGCATGCAATCACTGACTCACCACAATGTGTAGGGCAAGGCATACTTTGCACACATCAGCATTAGTGATGAACTCTTTTTTGAAATGCAGGACTACAAAAAGGCACTTTATTAGTGTTTTGTAATATTATATATTAGGATCTAACACTGGCAAATCTGTCTCAACAATAACCTTAGTAGGTCGATAAAGGTAAAATATGAATTATGTCTGATGTTTGATAAATTATAAACATATTTTTGAATTTATCACAACACTCTGAAAAACTCCATTCACAATATTCATATGCAACCAGAGAAAGAAGAAATCTGACTCATGGTTTTGGGCGGTGCAATGTTTGAAAAGAAGATAACACATGCATTTTCAGCAGTGCACCAAAATCATTTCTTCACAAGTACAAAATATACTGATCTTAACTCATACCATTCATGGTGCAATTGAGGTAACTACTATATAATGCATAAAATTACTGAACCACCATCATCACAATATTAAAGTCAATATCATTTAACAGCAATTTATATTTCTGAAATGTTTTGTCACTGTCTTGTACACTGCAACATTTAAAAATCCCTTTCTGAATAACACATTCTACAGTATTCGAAAAGCAACGGCATTTGTGAAAACACAGGTAGTAGTGTTCACGCAGTCACCTCCATACCACTGCACATTGCATGATGCATGACACATCTCCCAGCTGCAAAGAGCCTGCTATACAGGTACAGATTGTTGCCTGTGGATGTACAAGGCCAAACACAGTCAGACATGGAAAGTTATAGCACCAGAAATAAAGTACCTTAGACTGAATTAGGTGAGAAAGAGCTGAGATTAGACTGGCTGTCAAACAGGACTCTGGCTAAAATCTGCATACGGCCTAGCAGCAAAAGGGAAGCCCTGTTATGATCTGAAGGGCGCGTCATATTAGTCTTATCTACTGCTCACACTCACCTCACTCTGGGGCTCATAAGAAGGGTTACCCTCATTGCCCCAGCACTTAAAGAGTCCAGCTAATCGGGGATTTCCAGATCTGGCCAATCAGAGAAGTCTGACCTCACAGACCTGCCAAAGGGATTCTATAAATGAAACATCTGAGGTAAGAAAGTGCCCTGTTGCTAAGTGTTTGTGATAGACCAGTGACAAAATGTCCAAAAAACATGATGAAGCTCAAACAATCATATCAGGTAGAAGGTAGGGGGTAGCTTTTCAAAGTGATCTTCGTTTTCTTGATAGCACCCTTCACATTGCCTAATACACTAGACAAGGAACCAACAAGATTAAAAGAAGACCAAACACAGCTAAAATACAAAGACACGCTCAACTAAAATCCCTGTCAGGGAAGATAAGTGGGGCAATGAGGGTCCAGAGGTAGAGCCCGAGGCCCAGCCAGCTGGAGCTCATCTTCACCCACACAGCTGGCATGCTGCTCTGCATGGCCTGGGTGGTGGTGTCTGGCCTGAGGGAGGACAGAGAGGGACAAGTACAATTTAGTAAAAACCAACTTAACATAACACATGTACTGAAATGTGTCTACAAATGTTTTTCCATGTAAGGACAATTACTGGGGTGGTTGGAAACCTTTTTCCTTTCTATAATTAGGTGATTATAGAAACACTCCAGCTGGGATCAAAGAGTTGGAGAACTCTAAAGTGAAATAATATGCCCTCTGGTGGTCAAACCGGACACCTCGTATGTCTGGGCATCAATAACAGTACCACCAATGTGAAGAACTTTTAGAGATCTCAGAAAACGTGTTCAGCTCTTTGCTGATTTTAGTTTTAGAGCTAATAATATGTCATTTGCAGATTTCAACCTTTGTTCCTCTTATGCTGCCTTTCTAGCAGCCAGTTGGATACTTACTGGTACCAGTTGGTGAGAGTCATCATGATGTACAGAGAGGCCAGACAGAGGTGGAAGTGGAAAAAGGAGTAGCTGTAAGTGACTCTCTCCTCCTCATTATCCACGGCCCTGCGTATGCCATCCTCTCCTACCTTACCCTCACCACCAAATTCTTCCCCCTTTTCTGTCTGCATCAGCTTGTTTACCTGAGTGTTACTGGACGAACGGATGCTGGTGGAGACACAGAAAGAAAGTTTTACAAAAATATAAATACCACAAGAGAGAACAAAAAAGATCACTTGCAGTGGTTTTAGTGCTGCTAAACCAACCTGGCATAGAGAGTGCAGAAGAGGAAGATGACCAAACCAACAACGCCCTGAGCGTCCCACCACTGCACCTGCCCTGGAGTGCTGTCAGCAGATGGTCCAGTGGTGTTGACATTTGACACTAGACTCAATAGGCTGGGGTTACATTTGCGATCTAAGAAATAAAAGTATACACAGAGAGCATTAGACATTTGATCTACTATAACAGGTAATGAAAAATCAATTATACACTGAGCCTGTTTACACGTGCAATAGATGTTTTTAAAACTTTGCATTCAAATTAACTCAAGATGCTGCAACGGCCAAACAAGGCAGTAAGAGATGACTTTGGCAAAATTAACATATTAATAACAAAGTGTTTTCTAGTTCACTGGTTACATTACTAAGTTGAACAGGTCCCTGTCTCCTTTAACTTCTGTCATAAAATTTGCAGTGTTGCATATGATATCTAGCAAAGGAACAAAGTGTTTGCAGTGTTACATGTGTGAAGATGCAAGAGATATCTTCCTGAAATTACAAGAATGTGTATTTTTCAAAGAACTGTGAAATCCAGCTCTGCGTGTGTACCTACACACCTGCACGTGTAGCGAAAACTAATGCTGACGCATGACAGCAATCGCACAGTCTACCAAAAGACAACTGAACACACACCCTACAGTCACTGCAAGCTTGCCCACTGCTGCTATTCACTTGGGATAGGCAGATCAAACCACAACATGAGACAAGGAAAGTGAGATAAAAATCTGCAAATTCTTAAGGCACAGCATGGAAAACTTACCAGTGAGATCAAAGTGCTGCAGCAGATAAAAAGTAGATACTGTATATTTAAAGAAAACACAGCTGAGCATGCAAGCAAAAGCTACAGAGGAGGGCTGCAACTGTGGAATAAACCAGGAGACTCACTTGGATTATTGGTCATTGCAGACCAAGTGACATACATGGTATATAGGGAGATGAGTGAAGCCTGGAGTAGACCGGAGTGTGGCTGGGCTTCCTGTAACAAAATGGACACATCTACAATAGTTTAATATAATGCAACATTTAATCTAATTTTAAGCTGTCTTGAAATAAACTAGCTCCGCACCACCATGGAAAAAAATGAGAATGGAAAAAAATGAAACAAACCATTCATAAAGGAGTGGGACAGCATGCTTATTTGTAGTTTGCCAAATGAAATTCAGTTGGCAGTTTATTACATAAACCTGGTTAAAGCTGATGCAGTCTATTACAATGGTTCTGCAAAAAAGCCTTCTTCATGAAGCCAATAATGCTCAGGTTTTTGTCCAAAATGTTTTAAGAGAGGTGTTGATTCATCATTTTGGAGGATGTAGTTTGTGCGGCTGTTGAATTGTAATGCATTATACTGATAGATGTTTCTACTATTTTGTACACCACATTTATACAAGTGAGGCTAGGCTAAATAACACCTCTCATTACAATAACGTAAATCTCAACAGCCGCACAAACTACATCCTCCATAATGACCACACCGTTGAACAAACCATTAAAAAGGTTTCAACAAATACTGAACAGTATCACTTTCATGAAGATAGGATTTATTGCAGGACTGTTGTATTAGACTGCACCGTTAACCCCCTATTTTCCCTGTTCAGATTAAAACAAAAGAATGGCAGTTCCAGATGTATCTATTCTGGAAAGTTTTTAGAGGAAACACCTGCTTAGCAGGGTTGGGGGTTCAAAATGGAAGCAGTGCTTTCAAATGTATTTGCAGTAGTGTGGACATGGACCAAGACCTGGCAACACTGTACCTGTATTTTTGGTAGGATGGAGACAACAGAGATGATGATGCAGAAGATAAGGTTGAGGCTGATGAAGACCTTGTGCTCTGTGCAGTCTTCAGGTTGCGTGTAGTACACGTAAAAGAGCACAACGGCAGTGAAAGCCAGGGCATAATAGAGGATGGTGAAAGACAGCAGGCCTGGAATTCACATGAACATACAAAAACATTACTGACCACAAGTAAAATGAAAACAAGGTAGTGACTCCAACAGCAGAGAAAATCTCACTTACTGATTCAAATATTATGTCGTGTTACAATAAATCTTTTGACAAATATTATGCAGCTTAACAGGGTGAAAAAAATATTTCAATGCTGCACCTGCAAACCAGCATTTGTTGTCACTGTTTTCGGCCTTTTCCACCCACACTTTGTTCCAGTTGTGGGCAAAGTCGATGAGGAGAATAAGCTGGATGAGAATGAAGATGAAGGATCCCACCAAACCAAAGTAAAACCATACTGAAAAGTGAGAAGAAAACAGACACGGCTGATTGTTTCTTTAAATTGCTGATCAAGAATCAACATTTCTGCATTGCCAGAGTCACAAAAAATTCACAAAGTCAGTGTCTGCTCAAGAAAAATATGGAGTACACTGGCAATTACTGTAATATTAAATGTAATTCAACAGAAGATGTTAGTACCAGTATGAAATGTTCCATTAGGGATGAAGAAAGCTCCCACTGTAATCCCAATCAGGATCAGAAACTTAAAGAACCAGAACCTAAAAAATAAACAGTTACAATCCCACCATCAGTACAGCACACAGATGGGAGTATTTCATGCAAATCTGTCTCCATCCCTGAACCAACACTTTCCATATAAGCCTGATATAGCTCTTACCCATTTTGAATAGCTGCACGTGGGTCTTTGCTACTACGGACACGAATCATGATGACGGAGAACAGAAAGAAGAAGCAAGTCATGGCGAAGCACATACGGTACACAGACTTGTAGCCCACAATGACATCACAGTTAACCTTGTTTTCAATATCAGTCACAGCAGTTCCTCCTTGGCAAAACAGTGGGATCTATGAAACACAAGAAAGTCAACCTAAACTAACTCTGGAAAGTCTTTACCAGAGAGAACACGTAACAGTACTTGACAATACTTCAAGCTACAAATGACTGTAGTAACAGCCTCTACTAACACATTTTATTTATTTACAGTAGCCTACAAACAAACTATTACATTGACTTCCAGATTTTGATCACATATTAGTCAATCATTAATATATACATTATATCACTTATGAAAAAAAATATGCACAGTAAACACATAATGTAGTTCAAGAACTCTTAAGTAGTGCTTAATGTAATACAACCCTGTATTCTGTAATGTAGCTGACAACATAAAGAAAAACACTGATCTCACTTTGCGGAGCTGTGTTTCCATCCCGGGAAGGATCATGATGACAGACACCATGGTCCCCAGCAGCAAAAAGAAGGAGAAAATCAGACGAGTGATGGTAGAATTATTAGAGGATGGGCAGCAGCCACACAAAAGACATGGTGCTGAGCCACACAGGCAGGAGGCCTGTGTGAGTGGGCAGGGTGAGAGTGGGAGGAAAAAATACAGAGGGTTAAACTTTCAGGCAGGTCATGCTTTTAAAACTCTGACAATACCCCAATCAACGTAGGCAACATCTTTTGCAGAATGCCAATTATAACTAGGTTTTGTTCCATTATGGATACTTAAGAGGTAAATTACTAATGGTGATAGCAAATGTCCAGTAATGAATCAAAATGGAAGCATCGCCCGTATCTCCGATTCAAATTCAATCTACTTATACGGGCATAGTGTTATCACGAAAGACTGCTGCCTCGAGGGTTTAAGTACACATTTAACTAGGCTGTTCACACAAAGATAAACAGACTCCACCTAATTCTACCAAAGCTATTCAGAGACACTGTGTGAAGCTAATGACACGGTTACATCGGCTTAACAGGAGCTGTTGTCCTAGAGGATCAGCCACAAGCATAACGTTATAATCTCACATTAGCCCTGTGTTTATACGTTAATAATAAAACAGCCTGTTTTGACGTTTCCCCAATCATTATTTTCCTTAGCCAATCACTAGCTTGCTAACTTCCTTAAAAATTCTAGCGTCGAAGTAAGACAGCGTTAACATAGTTGAGCAGTATTGATAGTATAGATAGCATAGGAAATATATCAACACTTAGAGCGTTTTGGGTGGACTGTCACTTAGCTAACGTTAGCTACTTTGTCAGTTAGCTATTAACTAGGTTTATCACATCTAGCTAGCGTAACAGCTACAGTGAACACACACCGTCCATTTGTATCTAACTTAATATTGTACACAGCTATAAAACAGCTATATCCTGAAAAGAAATACTTACACAGCTGGCTAACGAGCACAACGCCAGACAAGCCCCCATTTTAGCATTAAAATGCTGAATTTAACGATGGTGTGCAATCGCCTCTCCTTCTTCTGTGAAACATAAACAGTCGGAAGCGCTTGTTCGATTTTTCAAAATAAAAGGTTTCACGATTGACTTCAGTGACAAACGTTTCAACATAAAAAGCCTAAAACAGTGAAGTAGAACAAGTAGTGCTTGATGTGAAATTATTAGAGAGGAAAGGGGAGAATATATAGTCAAAAAGAAGTAGAGAAATTATTCTTAATATTTAAAAGTACATACAGATGCATCTAAAACTGTAGACAGTAAAGTACAGATAGCATTTATTATTCCAGACTTAATTGTAGGATAAGGAGCGGATCAATGATAACGGATCAGTATTCACAGGGGAATTGTTTGTTATTCTGCCAGCTCTAAAATGGGTAGAAGAAGTCAAACTAGTAAAAGTAATGGGGTCAGCATCTCATTAAAAAGTATTAAATACATTCATTCAGAATAGAAAGTCACTTTCGGTTTTGCCCGTTTAGGGGTCGCCACAGCGAATCGTGACGCTGACGACTCGCATGTTGATTTTTGGCACGTGTTTTACGCCGGAAGTCCTTCCTGACGCAACCTGGTTAGGAACCCGAGGCGCCGCAGCGAGAGCGCTGCGCCTTAACCACAGCCTACCAGGCTAGCGACAGCCATAATTAAGATAGAAATTAATTCTTGACATACAGTAGCTCTTATTGCATACAGTTTTGAGAGGGCAGGAATAGCAGTTTAATTCGTTTAGATTCCTGTATGTATAGGGGTGATGAGAAATGAGTTGTAAAAGAGTTGAGGGGAAGTAGGATAAAGGACTATCTTCAGATTTTTAGAAGATGCATGAAATACCTCAAATGTAGTAGCCTAGTAATAGTAGTAGCTGGGCCCACCAAGAGATGTTACAGGATTAAAGGGAAACGGTTTAACCAGAAAAATAAACTGTTATTAAGAGTGATAGCCCATCCTTTGTATTGTTGATGGGCTTTAAACTTTGTTGTGGAACTTTTTTTCCCCCCGTTGAGTACAATGGATAACAAGGCAGTAAATGTGGGGACTCTGAAATGTACCATCTGTCCTCTCGTTCAGTGTTCCAAGAGCTGAGTGCCTGTTGTCTGAATCTACACTGACAGCAAAAGAGAGCATGTCAGGTGCTGACAGAAGCCTCTTCAAAGCCCCTGCTGTTGGTAGTGCACCAGCACAGTAAGGAGCCAACAGTGACCGGGTTATTAATAGTCCCTTTAATATCTAACCTGGAACAAGGCATAGTGTTTTAATATATACACTGATCTTACAGTAACCTAAAGGCTTTCTCGATTCTATAATTCTAATTTCCACATTGGTTACCAATGTGCTGATGGATAACTAACTATCACTGTCAACCTAAACTAAACCATTTTGCCCAGTTGAATTTCAATTATGATAAAATATTATGCCACTAGAAATTCTTTTACAATATTTCCATGATATTGTGAGTGAAATAAGTGTAATGTAACATTCACTTTTAAATGCATTAAATGCAAATGTTTATAAATATGTTGTTTAGATTACAGACTTACATGCATTTAGAATTTTTGATTCCTCTATCCAGCACTAGGTTGCAGCATGTAACCAGGATTTTGCATTACTGGCATTCAATTAAATGACCATTGATAAGCTAAGGCAGTAATAATGTTACAGTAAACTTACAAGACAGCCCTATAACCTATTCCCTGTGTACTCCTGCACAGAAGAAATATAGTTTTGAACATATAGCTCATTTTAACAACAAGCACCATCACACATGGTGAAACAAAGAGACTGCAGCTATGGAGAGCATTCTGGGAGACTGCCTTTTTAATTTAGTGTTGCATGTCTCAACATGCCACCGTGGACCACACCAACAGCAGTAACAGTCAAATCTAATCTGTCAGAACATTAGAGAGCTGTTTTTGACTTATTCTCACTAGAGGGTATGATGATTCACCTGTGACTGGATGTGCAGCTGAGAAGTTAAATTAAAGGAAGATCCTTTGTAATGCCAATCCATTTGTGCCATTCTCAGCTGTCTATTAGTTTAGAATAAATGATGACAGGGTGCTGCAAGGTCAAGGTCAAGGTCAAAGTGTTTATTTGTCATTTGCACAGTTACGAAACGTGTTTCCCTGTATAATGAAATTCTTACTTTGCCGTCCATGTGAATGCCACATAAAACAAGTGAAATATAAAGTGAAATATAAAGTACATGAGCAATAACACAAATCTAAATAGGCAGTAAAATCACAAATCTACGGCACTTTAAAGCAGCAAGTGAAGGAAGCAAATAAAAATACAACAAGAACACAATATAATGCAGAGAGAATATATGCTACGTAGGAGCTGTGGAGTGTAAATACCCAGCAGTGAGTGTGCAATTATGCATGTGCAAACTGAGTATGTAAACAGTACAGATGGAATTACATGAGGTAGATCCCGAGTCAGCTGTTTAGGAGTCTGATGGCAGAGGGAAAGAAAGAGTTTTTCAGTCTAGAGGTCCTGCATTTCACACTTCTGAACCTCCGGCCAGAGGGTAGGGAGGCGAACAGTCAGTGCTGGGGGTGGGTGGGATCTTTGAGGATGGAAGCAGTTTTCCTACGCAGTCTGCGATGGTAAATGCTCTGCAGAGAGGACAGTGGAGTCCTGGTGATCTTCTCCACAGTCTTTACCACTCTCTGCAGGTGCTTTCGGTCCATAGCAGTAGTGCTGCCATACTAGACAGTGACCAGCTGGTCAAGATGCTCTCAATGATGCAGCTGTAGAAGTTGCAAAGGATCCTAGGCGACATGCCAAACCTCCTCAGCCTCCTCAGGAAGTACAGCCACCGTTGGGCCTTCTTGACCAGCTGTGTGGTGTTAAGTGTCCAAGTGAGGTCCTTACTGATGTGGACACCCAGGTATTTGAAGCTACTCACCCTCTCCACCTCGAGCCCCCAGATGAACAGTGGCTGATGAGATCTCCTCTCCTTCCTCATGTCCACTATCATCTCCTT